CCCATCGAGTTGCAGCCGGGCGTGGGGCACTTCATGTTGAAGTTGTAACTCTCGTGGAAGCGGCGGCGTTTTGGCCGGTGGGCCAGGCTGGACTCTCTGAGCGAAAGCTCCTTCGCCAGGCTCTCATCATGAGACACGTTGGGGCTGGACACGTCGATATCAGACTCAGAGGAGTGGGCGTTTCCTGTGGGGGTCCGGGGGGGCGATTCATCCTGATCCGCCACTTGCTTCGCATCTGTGTGGATAAACAGCACAAACTGACACGTCTGTATGATTTATATTTACCTGTTAAAGGCTTGTAATTATAATATCTCTGTACACAATATATATATATATATATATGTGATCAGCCGAATTCAGCATAAAGCAGGAAACAAAGCATCCAGAACGTCTACAGATATTATTTAAAGTCATGTATTGATTAATTAAACATGCTTCTTAATAATTTAGTAAAATTCTACATAAAACAGCAAATAAAGTTTCCAGAATCATGAGTGAATGACACGTCAAAAACAGTATCACTTTTTATGAAGCCACTTCAAACACATTTCTAAGCATTTAAATGTTTAGGCATGCAAAGTAAGTTTGAAAGCTAATTAAAATGTTTTTTTTCATATGCAATATTCAACAATAACGCTTAACAAATGACCGATTTCACAAAACCAACCTTAAAGATTTATTAAACACATGATGAAGTCTTCAAATAAAAGGAAGCAAAGAGCAGTAAAAGAAGAGAAAAGCTGAGATAAATGACAGCAAAAACTCTCAGATGTCAAAACTCAACAGACACACAGTGCAAACCACATTTTAAGGGAAGGACACAGCGACGAATGGCAGAAGAACTCTGAGAAATATTATTATCCAGACCCTTTTGTGCTCTTAATTCCCAAACGTTTGTGATTATAGTGTAGTATCTAGCACAGAGAGGTGCCACTTTAACCTCGTAAATGGCCAAAGTTTTATTAGGCACTTCTATAATCTAAGAATAGCTCAGCCAGTTTGCACTGAAGTCACTGTAGTTACTGAATAATAAGCCTTACTGTGTAATAAGACTGAGATTTTAAGGGGTTAATAAATATAGTTTGGCTCAAAATACCAGCTTCATATTTGGTGCATTTGTTAATTCATAAGTGCTCTTTCCGATGGTATAAATTGAGTATTGAGCAATTTTGATAAACCAGAATCCTTTATAACACAAGATTAAAACCTAATTGGCAAATCAGTGCTGTGATATATGTTGTAAATGCAACAAATGGAAAGATCCCCTGTAATTCAGTGTGGCGATACAGATAATTCTGTTCTGGAATTATACTGTTCTGGAATTGTCCCCTAAAACTTCATACATCTAGCATCAATAGTTGAAAAGGTATGACATGTCAAAGCCTGCATGTTTTCCTCAGCAAACTCTGCTCATAATTTGTGCTATTATAAGAGCCCACATTCTACATTTCACTTATAATTTAATATTTTTACCCCCTGAGGTCCATCTAACACATTTATATAAACTTATATCCCAAAAACATTCCTAACTCATTTCAACATGACCATTTTCCAGCCTCTCTTCATCCCTTAGAACTGAACAGGCTGTTTTTTGTTCATTTAAAAAACAGTCTGGGCTGAAACACTCCTTATAGCTTCAGCATGAGTAGGCGGGGCTACACTGTTGTAGGCTGAATAGGCAGATATATGTGAATGTGTTGGTTTCAATGTCAACAAAAAACTGAATTCTGAACGAGCTGTTTTTGCAGTTTAGTTTTCGTATATGGACCGTATGGACTGGGGCAGTGAACGGTTTTGAAGCTTACATACAACATACACTATATGGACAAAAGTATTGGGACACGCTTCATAAATCAGATGTTAAAACTGGATAAAATGGATAAATGGATAAAATTAAGCACATAGCCTTGCAGTCTTGACAGCTGGGGTGGTGGAAATCATGCTGCCACTGGACTCAGTGGAAACGTATTCTGTGGAGTGACGAATCAGCTTCTCTATCTGTCAGTCTGATGGACGAGTCTGAGTTTGGCGAATGCCAGGAGAACGTTACCTGCCTGACTGCACTGCGCCAGCTGTAAAGTTTGGTGGAGGAGGGATGATGATATGGGGCTGTTTTTCAGGGGTTGATCTAGAACCCTTAGTTCCAGTGAAGGGAAACCTTAATGCTTCAGCACCAAGACATTTTGGACAGTTGTACACTTCCAACTTTGTGGGAACAGTTTGGGGAAGAACCTGTTCTTTTCCAGCATGACTGAGCCCCAGTGACCAAAGCAGCTCCATAAAGGCCTGACTGGGTGAGTTTGGTGTGGAAGACCTTGACTGGCCCTCACAGAGCCCTGACCTCAACCCCATCAAACACCTTTGGGATGAACTAGAACGGAGATTGTGAGCCAGACCCTCTCGTCCTACACAGTGTCTGACCTCACAAATGCTCTTCTGGGTGAATGGGCAGAAATTCCCACAGACTCTCTCCAACATCTTGTAGAAGCTTCCCAGAAGAGTGGAAGCTGTTAGAGCTGCAAAGGGGGACCAACTCCATATTAATGCCTATGGCTTTAGAATGGGATTCATAAAAGCTCCTGTAAGTGTAATATGTAGGTGTCCCAACACTTTTGACAATATAGTGTAAAAAAGGGAGTAAAATTTGTCACACAGCCCCTTTAAGGTACACAGTGAATACACATGATTCTGATTTTGAATGAAGAAAAAACCATGCAAATAAAAATGACAGCAAACAAACAGAAAGAAACGAGCTGCTCTGCGGCGATGGGTGGGAGTCAGAGTCAGAGTAAAGGAGCACGGAGCACTGCTTTCTCCTCCTACCCCTGTCTGAGACTTCCCCATGCCGCTCCGCCTCCGAGCCGCTCTGCCGCAGGGGGATTTCGCTTTTCCTGGCTGCGACCGGCTCCCCCTGCTGTTGACTGCGGGTCACTCGGCGGGTTGAAAAGCTCATCTCGTCTGAGGCCAGAGCAGACGAGCTCCCGACAGGGCTGGAATCTAAACACAGAGCCTTAAAGCGATAGTTTGGCGAAAAATCGAATTTACAGCTTCCCAGTTACCCCAGTGTAGCCAATCGGCCGAGACACGTTGGGTGTCTGAAGTCGCTTCTATGGTCTTAGCACTGGAACAACGAGGCTAATGTAGCTAACAAGGAATGGAAACTAACACCCCACCAATTAGCACCGTTATTTACTGTTATTTAAAGAAAAACAACATGAGTGCATCACTCAGCTGAAAACAGAAGTAGCCACCGTCTTGAAGCCAGAATTTTGTTCGTACTTTAGCCCACGTTAGATAACAGAGTCTCGTACACCGTCAGAACCCCTACACTCAAGTCTAAAGGGGGATACCACCTATTTTTCAAATTTTCATAATTCGCATAACTAAATGGTGAAGATGTAAACAGAGTGGTTCAGAGTGGTTTGGTGTGAAACGCTCTGTTTTAGAGAAACTTACTCAGAATCGTTCACAGTGGTGGTGATAGGAACCAGACATCCACCTCTAAAAGCTCCCTCACAGAAAGTTAATAGGGATGCACGGATTTCATACTTAAACATTTATTTATAAGTACCAGAGAAATATAATGCTTATTTTTTAGGGTTACAAATGCAGTAAAATGAATTAGTGCAATAACTCAAAAACATTCTGTTCGTCTAGAATACAATAACGACAATAATAAATACAATAACCAATCAAGTTGAAATATTGGTCTAATTCAAACAAAGCAAACAGATTCCAATATTATTGTGCATCCTCCAAAGGTTTGACATGAAATGGTTATGAATACGCTGTCCAATGTCTGAGACATTGTTTCATAATAATTTTGAGAAGATTTTGGTCTACAACATCCATTCATGGTGGAGGGATAATAACATGCAGGGTGTTATGAGGTAAAATAGTCCCTAAGGAAAACTTATTATTTCAGATTTTCCACTATTTTCCATCATCAACATTCCATATAAACTCAGAAGACTCGTGTAGGTTCACTGGTGGTTCTGGATAGTAAATAAAATGTCTATATTTGTGTTGTAGTCATGGCGACCCCTGGTTTCTATCACCACCACTGGAAAGACATCTGAACCATTTCACACCAAACCACTCTGAATCTCTCTGATTACATCTCACTCACTGAGTTATGTGAATTATGACATTTTGAAAAAAATAGTGGAATTCACCTTTAATAACTCGACACAGTTCAAGCTGGGGCTGGGCAATATTAAAATATTTATTGTTATTGTGATGAATTACATCACACTACGTCAAAATAAGCTTTTCTGACCATTCACATGTGGATATCGTCAGTACTTAGGAAAAACACAGCTGCATGTTTAATTAGTCCTGTTTAACTGGATTTAGAGCAGCACAGTGTTAAATGTTAAAGACAAATAACTGGATTCATAGTTTTGAGATCATTTTTAAAATGCTGCACTACTTTGTCTGTTCCAACTTAACAGAGGTCAGAAAAAATAAATATTGTGACATATTATGCATCTTTAAAACGTTTTGATATTGTGATATTACTTTTCTGCCATTTGATTTTGAGATGCAGTTTACACTGTGCTAATTGATGTAGGCTGTCACCACTTCTCAGCCTCCGGACTCCATTTCCCAATACCTCAATAATAATCATTAACTGCATATATGATACATGTAAATACAGTCATTGAGTGTATTTATGATATGTATTATATTTACACACTCATTTAAAGTACATATGCTATATGATATAAAGACTAATTATATGCTACCACTAGGTACCATCATTGGAAAACATGGCATTAGTTTCCACTGCTATGCCGATGATACACAATTGTATATTTCAGCTAAACCAGAGGACAAAATTGAACTTAATAAGATAGAGGACTGTGTCAAAGACATTAAAGACTGGATGTCAAGTAACTTCCTCTTACTAAATTCGGACAAAACAGAAGTTCTTCTTCTTGGTCCAAAAGCTGCTAATCTGCCTATGCTTACTCTTAATCTCAATAGTTTCTCAACTGCACCAGGCACATCTGTAAAAAGCCTTGGTGTCACGATTGATCCCGATCTGGCCTTCGATGAGCTTATTACCAATATTACCAGAATAGCTTTCCTCCACCTGCGTAACATCGCTAAATTAAGAAATGCACTGTCGCTACAAGATGCAGAAACGTTAGTTCACACCTTTATCACGTCCAGGTTAGATTACTGTAACGCTCTGCTTTCTGGTTGTTCCAGACAAGCTTCAGTTAGTCCAGAACGCTGCAGCCAGAGTCTCACCAAAACCAGGACATTTGACCACATTAGCCCAATTTTGTGTACCTTACATTGGTTGCCAGTTAAATTCCGCATTGAGTACAAAATTCTTCTACTGACGTATAAAGCTCTGAATGGCCTTGATCCTCAGTACCTCAGTGACCTTATTTCCTATTATCAACCGACACGCCCACTTAGATCACAAGGTGCTGCTCATTATTAGTACCTAGAATAAATGAAGTTACGTCAGGGGGAGGAGCCTTTTCATACCACGCCCCCCAGCTTTGGAATAACCTACCAGTCTGTGTTCGGGACTCAGACACAGCCTCCATCTTTAAGTCTAGGCTAAAAACTTACCTGTTTAGTTGAGCCTTTGGTTAATTAGTTTTCCTAACTATCTGTCCCCCTTATATGCACAATCATTGACTGTATTTTTGACCTTGCCTCAGCCCAGCCCTTTGTGTATTGTTTGTATTTCTGGTCTGGACTTTCTCGTCTGGTTTACGGACTCTTTTTTTTTTGGATTGCCCCTATGGTTACTGTTCTCTCAATCTGCCTTTGTCCTTGGACTGTTTGACTATGATTGTGGATTCCCCTTTTGCTAATAAAGCCATTTTACTTCAGTTTGGTCTGTGAGCATCTGACCATAAGCTTCAAGGACAAACTCAGGTCCAAAAAAGTTGAGTCAGTAAGTGAAACACTAATAAAAACAGAAAGCAGTGATCAGTAGATTCTGCTTGACCTGTATCGAGTTAAAATGGCACAAAATCACAATATTTTATGTTGTAACTTATAAATTTAATTTTTTGTTTTTTTCATCGTTATAAAATCATTCCAAATGCAACACGTACCAAAAAAGTTCGGACGGGAGCATGATCACCACTGTGTTACATCATCTTTCCTTTTAACAGCACTAAAGAATTGTTTGGGGACTGAGGACAAAAAACGGATCCAGTTCTGAAACTGAATTTTTTTGCAATACTATAAAAGTCTTCAGTGCAACAGTGCAGGGCCTTCATTGTTGTTTTGCACTCGTTTTCAATGGGAGACAGTTCTGGACTGCGGGGAGGTCAGTCCAGCACCTGCACTCTCTGATCACGCTGCTGGAACAGGCTCAGAATATTTCTTGGTGTTTAAAGTGTGTTAAGTATTATCGATGCATTCGTAGATGTGCAGATTACTAAAGAACTAAAGAAGCAAACTTCGGACACTAAACATGTCTTGGCTGATCGACTACAAACTATGCAAATTTAATTAACATTCTTCTACCCCTCTTCAAATGCCAGAGAGTTCAGGCCCCTGGAGAGCATGCCGAACTCTTCAGCACCAGAAAGAAGCGTCAGACCACCAACAGCAACAGAAACAGGCAGAGTTCAGTGCCTGAGGACAGGACAGCTGTTTACACTGCTGAAAGCTGAGAAGATAAAGAGCAGCCGAGGTTTTTAATGGCTGAGAAGTTTGTTACTGCATTGACCTAAAAAGTCCTGGATAACGGTCTGGCAATTAAACTGTCCAGAATTCCTACAACAGCACTGCCAGAAAGAGATAAAATTTGTTTGTGATAAGAATTAGGAAAAAAAATGAAGTCATTACCTTGCGAGCTCTGGCTGAGTCGGAGCGAGGAGCGCGTGAGACGAGTGTTTTTGGCAGCATGAGCGTCGCTCTCTGAGCTGTCCGTGTGATCAGCTGAGAAATCAGAGTCCTCCGTACCGTCGGAGCTGCTGCACGCATTTCTCTAAAAAAGGAGACATCAGGAAAAGATCAGAAATGATCCCACCGACATCCCTGAGAACAGCCGTACAGGTTCAGCCTTTCATACTAGGCTTTATTAATCACATAAATAATAGTGTTTAATGTGTTAATAACATGTTAACACAATAGATTATTAATATCAATAATGTTTTAAGCACATTTTCCTGTTAGACCAATCTCTCTGATAGAGTCTGTGATCGTAGCACTCGTGGTCAAAAACAGCTTTTAGATGGCTTTTAAAGCAAAACCTTCAGCACCTTCAGCAGACCACGCTGCTCACTGGAGAGCTATGGATTAATCAACAAGCAGCAAACTAACAAAAGCAGCAGCTTAGTGGAGCTTCAGCTCCTCTCGAGATCCTCCACTGTAAAAAGCTCAACCACTGAGCACAATCACTGACTGTATATTTGATATATATAATATAGACATTGTTTTTATATAAGTTGTATGATAAATACACTCTTTGTATGTATTATATATATATATATATATATATATATATACACATACATACATGATATAGGCACTCATTGACTGTATATATGGTATATATGATCTACAATCGTCAACTGTAATATATATATATATATATATATATATACACACTAATTGACTATATATGATATATAGACTAGTTGACTTTATATATGATCTAAACACTTGACTGTATATATATGATATAGATAACAAATACTGATCCACTGTATATATGATATACACACAATCATTAATTATTAACTGCATATATTATACATGTAAATACAGTCAATGAGTGTATATATGATGATAATAGTCATTAATTAACTGTATATCTGATACATATGATATATACACATTCATTGACTGCACATATATATGATATATACATGCATTGATTGTATATATGACAAATGTAGTATGTGCATTCATTGACTATATATATGATATACACACATCTATTGACTATATATACAATATATGTGATACTTACATTCAGTGACTATATATGATACGTATGATATAGACACTCATTGACTGCATATATGATTTATACATCATCAACTGTATATATGATTTATAAGATATATAGACTTCTTGACTGTATATACTATATATGACATAGACACTCATTGACTGTATATATGGAGGATCAGTGACCTGCACTGGAACTGTTCACTGTTTAAACTGTTTGCCTTCAGGCAGTTGACAGACGCCCTGTCTAATGTTTGTTTTCACAGCAAAGCTGCTGAACCTGTCTATGCTGTTGTTATCTGACACACGCTTATCAGTCAGTTATTATTATAATTATTATTATTCAGTAACTACTGTGAATTATTTAGTAACGGACACAAATGATTCAGTATTTACTCTAAATTACTCTGAATCTACTATGAACTATAAGGTAACTGTAATGAATTACTCAGTAACTGCTATGCATTATACAGAATCTGACATAAATGATTCAGTATCTACTTTGAATGTGCAAGTTCTGTTGTTATGAGTCAGGATTTGAAGTACACCCCCAAAACCAATCAACACCAAAACAATCACAACATCTAAACTAACATCAACACCAACTCTAAAACAATCACATTTAAACTGACACAAACACCCAAACCAACATCAACACCAACTCCAAAACAAGCACACCCCCAAAACCAACATCAACACCAGAACAATCACATTTAAACTAACATCAACACCAACTCCAAAACAAGCACACCCCCAAAACCAATCACATTTAAACCAACATCAACACCAACTCCAAAACAAGCACACCACCAATACCAACATGAACACCAACTCCAAAACAAGCAGACCCCCAAAACCAACATCAACACCAACTTCAAAACAAGCAGACCCCCAAAACCAACATCAACACCAACTCCAAAACAAGCACACCCCCAAAACCAACATCAACACCAACTCCAAAACAAGCACACACCAAACAACATGAACACAACCCAAAACAAGCAACCACCACCAACTCACCCACCCAAAACAAGCACACCCCCAAAACCAACATCAACACCAACTCCAAAACAAGCACACCACCAAAACCAACATCAACACCAACTCCAAAACAAGCACACCCCCAAAACCAACATCAACACCAACTCCAAAACAAGCACACCCCCAAAACCAACATCAACACCAACTCCAAAACAAGCACACCTCCAAAACCAACATCAACACCAACTCCAAAACAAGCACACCCCCAAAACCAACATCAACACCAAAACAATCACAACATCCAAACCAACATCAACACCAACTCCAAAACAAGCACACCACCAATACAAACATCAACACCAACTCCAAAACAAGCACACCACCAATACAAACATCAACACCAACTCCAAAACAAGCACACCACCAAAACCAACATCAACACCAGAACAATCACATTTAAACTAACATCAACACCAACTTCAAAACAATCACATCTAAACTGACACAAACACCCAAACCAACATCAACACCAACTCCAAAACAAGCTCAACATCTGCACTATCAAAACTAACTCCAAAACAAGAACCACAATACCAAAGCCAACACTATCAATGTTTAAACCAACATCAACACCAACTAAAAACAATCACCACAACACCAAAAACTCGTATTAACCAGTGCCATCATCAGCACCAACACCAAAAACCACTAATACCAAAACAAAAAACACCACCAAAATAACCAACTTCAACCTAAACCAACAGAGATATTTACTACTCAACAGACTGAGACAGCAGGCATGCAGCACAAATACCAACATAAACATCAACAACATCAGCATAAACACCAAAACACGAAACACAGCTCCACAACACCAAACACAAACACAGCTCCACAACACCAAACACTAACACAGCTCCACAACACCAAACACAGCTCCACAACACCAAACACTAACACAGCTCCGCAACACCAAACACTAACACAGCTCCGCAACACCAAACACTAACACAGCTCCACAACACCAAACACAAACACAGCTCCACAACACGAAACAATAACACAGCTCCGCAACACCAAACACTAACACAGCTCCACAACACCAAACACAGCTCCACAACACCAAACAATAACACAGCTCCACAACACCAAAACACGAAACACAGCTCCACAACACCAAACACTAACACAGCTCCACAACACCAAACACTAACACAGCTCCACAACACCAAAACACGAAACACAGCTCCACAACACCAAACACAAACACAGCTCCACAACACCAAACACTAACACAGCTCCACAACACCAAACACAGCTCCACAACACCAAACAATAACACAGCTCCACAACCACAACCACAAACACTAACACAGCTCCACAACACCAAACACTAACACAGCTCCACAACACAAACAATAACACAGCTCCACAACACCAAACACTAACACAGCTCCACAACACCAAACACTAACACAGCTCCACAACCCCAAACACTAACGCAGTTCCACAACACCAAACACTAACACAGCTCCACAACCCCAAACACTAACACAACTCCACAACACCAAACACTAACACAGCTCCATAACCTCAAACAATAACGCAGCTCCACAACCTCAAACACTAACGCAGCTCCACAACACCAAACACTAACGCAGCTCCACAACCTCAAACACTAACGCAGTTCCACAACACCAAACAATAACGCAGTTCCACAACCTCAAACACTAACGCAGCTCCACAACCTCAAACAATAACGCAGCTCCACAACACCAAACACTAACACCGCTCCACAACCTCAAACAATAACGCAGCTCCACAACACCAAACACTAACGCAGCTCCACAACCTCAAACAATAACGCAGCTCCACAACACCAAACACTAACACCGCTCCACAACCTCAAACAATAACGCAGCTCCACAACACCAAACACTAACACCGCTCCACAACCTCAAACAATAACGCAGCTCCACAACACCAAACATTAACACAACTCCACAACACCAAACACTAACGCAGCTCCACAACACCAAACACTAACGCAGTTCCACAACCTCAAACACTAACGCAGTTCCACAACCTCAAACACTAACGCAGTTCCACAACCTCAAACACTAACGCAGCTCCACAACCTCAAACACTAACACAGCTCCACAACCTCAAACACTAACGCAGCTCCACAACCTCAAACACTAACGCAGCTCCACAACCTCAAACAATAACGCAGCTCCACAACACCAAACACTAACACAGCTCCACAACCTCAAACAATAACGCAGCTCCACAACACCAAACACTAACACCGCTCCACAACCTCAAACAATAACGCAGCTCCACAACACCAAACACTAACACCGCTCCACAACCTCAAACAATAACGCAGCTCCACAACACCAAACATTAACACAACTCCACAACACCAAACACTAACGCAGCTCCACAACACCAAACACTAACGCAGTTCCACAACCTCAAACACTAACGCAGTTCCACAACCTCAAACACTAACGCAGCTCCACAACCTCAAACACTAACACAGCTCCACAACCTCAAACACTAACGCAGCTCCACAACCTCAAACACTAACGCAGCTCCACAACCTCAAACACTAACGCAGCTCCACAACACCAAACACTAACACAGCTCCACAACCTCAAACACTAACGCAGCTCCACAACCTCAAACACTAACGCAGCTCCACAACCTCAAACACTAACGCAGCTCCACAACCTCAAACAATAACGCAGCTCCACAACACCAAACACTAACACAGCTCCACAACCTCAAACAATAACGCAGCTCCACAACACCAAACACTAACGCAGCTCCACAACACCAAACACTAACACAGCTCCACAACACCAAACACTAACACAGCTCCACAACACCAAACACTAACGCAGCTCCACAACCAGCAATATAAACAACAACGCACTACTACAGTACTAATATAATATAAGACCTACTAATATAAGACCCCTAACAACACCCCCAAATACTCAAACACCACTGCCTGCAGGAGTGAAATGCACAGTCAAAGATACACAACCATCTATCACTATTACACACACACACACACACACACACACACACACACACACACACACACACACAGTCTGCAGGGCCTCTGCCCGGAACTCCTCTCTTACCTTCCGCCGCGGCATCTTCGCTGTAGCTGAGTAATAAAGCCGTTTAATATGAACTTTATGACGGATTAAAAACGGCGTTATTAATGTTTCACTCTGAAACACTGAGAGCTGATCCCTCACTCCGGCCCTGCACTGAGCGGACTCCGCTTCCGCTGTGACATTTCAAAATAAAAGTCTCTTTGTTGAACACAGCGAAGAATCTAAATACGCCACACCACGTCAGATCGATGCAAATTATTTTTTGTCATATTATTTAGAGGACAATTTTATTTATAATCCAGTCAGGTAAACACAAGTGCAGAAGTTTAGTGCTTTTAATTCAATCGTACATAAACATGCGCAGACGTAATTAGGCCTGTACATGCAGCCCTTCTTGGAAACAGTAGATGGCATCAATGTCCAACACTTCAACTACTATACTGATAATAATAATAATAATAATAATAATAATAATTAAAAAAATTATTATTATTATTATTATTATTATTATAGACACGTTTCTGTGCAACATCATCACAGAGATGCATGCGCAACCAGGGGGCAGAAAGCAACAGGAAGCAGCACTCTTTAAGGTAGAAAGTGTCCAATAATGTCCAGTAATGGAGGAAAATTTAAGAATAAATGTTATTCACAGGCAGAAACAACCAAAACCTGTAGCGTCTACCCTGCAAACACTGTTACGTTTTGGTGCCCACAACATTTTCACAGTGTTGAAATGTAATTTCTCAGAAACCTGGCAAACACACAACACTGTCACAACGTCGTCCGCTCTCTTACAACACTGTCAAAAGGTGGTGCTGTTCATGGTGTTCCAGGTGGGTGCTAGGGTGTTGATAGGTAGTTGTTATGGTACCATAGATGGTATCATAGGTGGTTGCTCAGGTATTGTTAGGTGGTTTCTATGGTGTTCCAGGTAGCTTCTAGGACAGAGGTCACTAATAGGCGGACCGCGGTCCGAGTGCGGCCCCAGATGCTGTCCTATGCGGACCTGAACCGTTAACCCGATAAACTATGGAGAATTATTTAATTTCGACGGGGTGGTCCTGTTTTAATCGGCTTAGCTTTTCGAGCCTTTATGGTAGTTTTAGTGGCCCGGGAAACTCATGGACCAACCGCATGTGTTGAAAACGGTTTTACAGAAACATCCTAAGTTGCCAAAATATCCTAAATATTTTCTTAACTTTAAGATAAACTCCAGAGCGTCTTAACTTCTGTTTTAATCGTCTGTTCCTATTGTTATATGCAGTGATACACATATAAGTAGCATAATAAAAGACACAGTTCACTATAAGTAGCATAATAACATTAACGTTACATTTATCTACACCGAAAACGGTTCTTTGACTTGTGAGTTTTTTTTTTTAAGTGTTTAAAACCCCATACACCGCAGACTCGATCTCCACCGTCCCTCTGATTACCTTCGTGTGTTAATGTGGATGATGAAATATTACAGTGATGGTGGTGAATAATGAGGAGACGGAGCTGAACGTGTGTCTGTTTATTAGGAGGAGTAACGTTAGCGCGCTCGGCTAAAACATTTGGGAAATGGAGACTGAAACAGTAGAGCGCCGATGCTCTGATAAACAGCAGGGGACGCTGATAGAATATTCTTAACTTTCAGTTTATCGCTTTAGTTTTATTTGACCTTTTTACCTCAGTAACGGTAGCTAACGTTAGCAGTTTGGCTGACTAACTTGATTACGTATTTCAGCTGTGCGCATATGGTCGGTTGCTAGGTAACAGACACGAAAATTGATTGTCGACTTCAATTAAGTTAAGATTTCCTAACTTGAGATAAGAAAAGATCAGATTTGCTTCTGTAATACGAGTTTGTGAAAAATCTTATCTTGACCTGTCAGATCTGAAGACAAAAAGATAAGAATTTTCTGTAATACGGCCCCAGTTTTGAACTTTTAGCTTCAACCATTCAGCTTACATCCACAGTTTCCACAGTGTCTAAACTGATGCTGCTGATTTGTCAGTAGGCCAAAAAAATATTGTTTAAAAAAGCTGCACATTCCATTGTCGCAAAGAAATGTTAGAATAAACAAGACAAACAAGGGCTACAGGTGTCCATTTTATTCAGTTCAACTGTAAAAACATAAACATGTAAAGTACGTCATGTACATTATGTTTCCATGGCAGCGTGTTTTTTTTTATTGCTTCTGAAGATGTTATTGACATGTTAAAGCAAAATATGCAATAAATAGTTGTTACTAGCAAAGACATGGTTTGAGGATTTGTGGTGCAACCAAATCTAGTAAAAGGACAGAAACTAATACAACTAGTCCAGGGTTCAGCAACATGCAGCTCTCTTACTGTCCTGTTGTGGCTCCACAGCTGAATCAGATTAGTAGGTAAAAATAAAATAATCCTCCTTTACAGTAAAATAAAGCTCTGCTGATCGTTCAACACAGTTTAACAATAAATGGTCTTAAACTCTAGAGTTAATGTAGAACTGGTGATTCACCCTTTAACCCTGAAGATCAGCGCAGACTGCTGGTCACCATAGCAACACAGACAACAGTCTCGCCTAGCTAGTAGCTACGAAACGGCAAAGAGAGAGATTTAAGATGAACATCGATAATTTGGAGACTAATAGACTTATTAGTGTTTATAATCACTCCAGCTGGTTTCCTGATACGTTTAATCTGCAGTGAGAAACTGACAAACACTAAAAAGTCACGAAGCTGAAGTCGCTTCTCATTCGCCAGCTTCTCGTTCTAACTTTCCCATTCCACCTTAAATGGTCCAGCAGTTACATTCTGGCACCTCAGGCACCATTTAAGGTGGAACGGGAAAATTCGAACGAAAGGCTGGTGAATGAGAAGCGACTTCAGCCTCATAAAAAGTTGAACTTTAAGAGACATTTTACAAGAAACTGTTCTACTTTTGTGAGAAAGTTTCCTGCTGGAGATGTGAGAAAAGCAGCTATAACTGAGCTAAAGCTTAAAGCAGAGCAAAGTAAGTCTGCGTTTTTGTTTATATTACATTTTTTATTCTATACTAGCACATCAGCCCATACTGAGGCATGTTTACATCCATGAGGGTAAACTGGAAGGTGGTTTGATTTTTGTTGAAAGGACAAACTGGCTCTTCTCAACATTTAGGTTGCCAACCTCTAAACTACTGTAAACTAAGGTCCTTAACTGAGTCCAAACTTTTGCAAATCTTGTGCAAACCAGTCCTGGGGTCTTCAGCAATACTTTGTGACTGACAAACTGTGCAGCAACAGATGGGCTACAGTCTGAAATTGTACACCTATACAGTGGACGTATAAAATAGGTAGACCTCATGAAGTGGCCAGTGAGTGGCTATACCTTAGCTTACTTAGCTCACTGTGCTAACTGGCCTGGCACAGTGTGTTTCTCTGAACATAACTCCTTCGCTGATATACATTTAGTGCCATTGTGGCGCAGTATGGCACAAAGCCCACAGTGGTGAGCGGCACTATAGCGCTTTTACAGAAAGACAAGAAGTAGAAAAGAGCCTGCGTGTGAACAGGAGGCCTAAAGGAGTCCAGTAGGCTTAAGAGCAGCAGAGTGGCTAATGCACAGGATAGTCTGTAGATGGCGCTGTCTCTGTAACTGCCAGTCTCTGTCTCAATCAGCATGGGGAGATGGAGGCTCAAGCCCAGACCAAACAAAACCCCCGTGTTACGCAGGAGGCCAGCGAAGGGCGTGGTGTCCAGATGCACCCAGTCAGGATGCACACACCACTTCTGGGCCTTCACCAGACTCCAGTGTGGGTCAACGGAGGCGGCGTCCAGTAACACGTACAGCCCCAGAGCAAACGAGAGCAGGAAGAATGTTGTGTGGACGTAACCTCTCAGGGTGGCACTGTAGATCCAAGAGGCTCTGTTAAAGACTTTAGCCACTGCAATGCCTGCAGAGAAAAAGAGACACTTATTATCATGTTTGAAAGATGAAAATTTCATAGCACTGTTTTGACTCTCACTGGCCTCTTTATTAAAAACACCCACCTTGTGCTTGAACTAACTGGCCACTTTATTGGAAACACCTACCTTGTGCTTTTGCTCACTGGCCACTTTATTAGAAACAACTACTTTGTGCTTCCACTCACTGGCCACTTTATTAGAAACACATACATCATGCTTCCACTCACTGGCCACTTTATTAGAAACACCTACATCATGCTTCCACTCACTGGCCACTTTATTACAAACACCTACCTGGTGCTTCCACTAACTGACCACTTTATTAGAAACACCTACCTTGTGCTTTCTGTAACTGGCCACTTTATTAGAAACACCTAACTTGTGCATCCACTGACTGACCACTTTATTGGAAACACCCACTTGTGCGTCCACTGACTGGTCACTTTATTAGAAACACATACCTTGTGCTTCAACTAATTGTCCACTTTATCAGAAACAGCTACCTTGTAGCTCCACTATGTAGGTGTACAGTTACAGACTGTAGTTTATCTGTTACTGCATAGTTAATCAGCCTCCCTCTACATCATCCATCATTGGTCAGTTTCTGACCACAGGACTGCTAGGTTTCTGACAAAGTGGCCAGTTGGTGTGTGTAAGGAGTGGTCCACATGACTGCTGAAATTACCTGTAGCAACACCAGCAATGACCTGGTGCGGGAAATGAGCAGCAATGAAGATCCTGGAGAGGCAAACAGAAACCTGCACTGCCCAGAACAGCGTCCAGAGACAGCCATGCACACACCTAGCAGCAAACAAGAGTTTACAGACATTATGGTCATTAAAAAAAGATTTTATACTGACACGAGAGAAAGTTCACAGTGTCAGCAGCAGCCTGCCTCACATTAATAACACTTCGGCTCGCTGGAGAAATAAAGTCGTAATGTAAGCACACAGGGATGTAAACATCTCCAGCGAGTCAGATGTGTTTATAATTGACCAGTGATGGGACACTTCCTTTTTCACTTTAGACGCTGGGCAGATACATGAGAGCCTTTGCTTTGTTTGGAAGTTAAGCTTATCTTTTAGACTTGTATTTGAAGCTTCTATAAAGTGTAAATGTAGGCTCCTAATAATAATGCGTTTGTTTGGAATCTTTAGCCTCACAGCTAAGCCAAAGTTAGCGTCTTTCAGGTCAGTTTAGGTATGTTTTTGTTTGTTTGTTTGTTTCTCATAGACTTCCCTTCTATTTCAAGCTTCTACAAAATATACATGTAGAGCACTCGGGTCAGAAGTAATACAGTAAAAGAACTTTATTACTGCATTTAAACCCTTAAAATCTCAGGCTTATTACATATCAAAGCTTATTACTCAGTAACCTATTCCTATTTTTAGGATATATATATATATATATATATATATATATATATATATACATATACACATATGGGTCATTCTACAGAAATGTTCACTTTTCTATCTCTCCATAGGAGTCACTGGTGTTACCGATCCTCATTGGTGTTACACATAATAAAGGAATACCAGAGACATTTTTGATGAAACATGCTTTTTATCAAACGGCTGCTACAGAACATCAAACCACATGTTGTCAATCATGGAATATCCACTAAAATATGTCATTTAATCCATTTGTATTTCTATTTTTTCACAGTTACCTCAGAATAAAGTCGGTCACACCAGTGACTTCACCTAAAAGCTTTGTATGAAATCATGAGCTAAATGAGAAAATCTCTGATAACTGAAAGACACAGTGGACTCACCATGAGCTTTTCTTCATAGATCCTCAGAAAACAGGTAAAAGGAAGTCAAGTGATGTAATCAGTGTGACTTTTATTTCAAAATAAGAGATTTTTTGTTACGTGGTAACACCAGTGACACGACTCCTGGGAGCCACAACTTTCATTATATATTTTATAATATTTATTTGGATTTTGTTTTCTTTATGTCATTTAAATCATATGTTTAATAGTCATGCATAGATTATTTCAGTTAAACTTGCAGAAAAACGTGGTTTTTACTTCAAAATATGACCTCAGCCTTCACACATGACTGTGAGGACGAGCTCTTCTGTTGAGCTTGGAATTCTAGATAATCAATTTAAAAATCAATATTGCTAAATTGAGGCTCAAGAAGGTGTAACTGTTAAAATAACTTATTGTTTTATTTTAAAATATAAACAAATTGTAACCCTAACATATTTTTCAAGTGTAATATATCTGTAAACGCTGGGGACACAAAAATGGACATTTCTGTAGAATGACCCATATATATTCTTAGGTGTGTAATAAAACTTTGGGCCCTGGCCATTTAAGGGGTTAAAGTTGATCAGATGAGCCGTATCTGCACATTTCTGCAGGTCACCCATGATTGGCTGCTTCCTCAGCAAGCAAGAACGTGAGAATAGGATGAAAAGAGAAGCCGCGGGTGAGGCGGTCAGTCATGGAATCCAAAGGAAGCGAGAGTGATGTGGCTTCGCGTATTCTGGAGGGAGCAAATATGAAGGAAACAAATCCCACCCATTGCTTTACTTAAAGAACTGTTTGACCTGGTAGGTTAAAAACTATTCTTGGTGTTTATAATTAATAAATAAACCAAAACAAACAAACAAAAAAAGATATTAACGTCTTTTATGACTATGATTTTTCCAATTATGCTTGCAGGTCCAGCATAAACTATTATTTACACTGTTGTTATGGTTGCATACATCTAATTAACACTCAATAAAGAAAGACATGTTTAAAAATGGAACTAGAAACACTTTTAAATGACTTTTTTACTTTAAAGTACATCTATAGTTTTGAAAAAATGACAAGAAAGATCTTCTTTCATGTGACTACATTGGTTTATGTAAGGGCAGTAACAAAGAGCTGGACTGGAACTTTCTGTATTAAAGAGAAATTCCATTAATTTTTGCCTAATTCAGTGGTTGAGATGTAAACAGAGAGATTCAGAGTGGTTTGGTGTGAAATGGTTCAGATGTCTTTACAGTGGTGGTGATAGGAACCAGGGGTCGCCATGACTACAACACAAATATAGACATTTTATTTACTATCTAAAACCACCAGTGAACCTACACGAGTCTTCTGAGTTTATATGGAATGTTGATGATGGAAAATAGTGGAAAATCTGAAATAATAAGTTTTCTTTTGGGACTATTTTGCCTCACAGCGCCCTGCATATTATGTATCCCTCCACCATGAATGGAGTTTAAGGCCAAAATCTTCTCAAAACTATCAGAAAACAGTGTCTCAGTCATCAGGCAGTGAATTCAGAACCATATCATGTAGTAACTTTCTGTGAGGGAGCTTTTAGAGGTGGACGTCTGGTTCTTATCACCACCACTGTGAACAGTTCTGACTCGCATTTCGCACCAAACTGCTCTGAACGACTCTGTTTACATTTAATTATATGGAAATTTTGAAAAAATCATGGAGTTCTCCTTTATGCCTTGTTAGCTAACAGTGTTAGCTGTATAGCAGTGCACTATTGGGTTCCGTTTATTCCGTTTAATCAATTATTTTGAAAGGAATTCTCCAAAATAGCATTAGGTTGACCAAAGTGAAAGAAAGATTTTTCTCCTCACCACTTTTTAAAAGGGTCTCCATCTCCTTTTAGTAAAAGAGGCAGCAGGGATGTCACCATGGCATAGTAGACCCCCGCAGCGCCCATAGCATGACCTGAGGGGCTTCCTGCAATGACAAAGAGCTTTCAGTCCTGCTGTTATTACACTTAAACTGCAGCAGATCTGAGGATAATACTGCGACTGTGAGATAGAGGATGAAGGCATGGTGCAAATGACAGGTTTAAGGTCTCTGACCCCCTTAATTAGCTTTAATCCCCCCTACAGGGGACGACTGATGATTCTCCAGAGCTGAGTTTCATCTGAAATGAAGGGTCTCAATACTGTGAACAATGGATGCATCTTAAATTAGCTGCATTCACTCATTAGAGGTGCTGATTAGATACTTTTGGTACTACATTGTTAGAAATAAAGGTTCTGTTCAGGTACATTTTTCATTCATCAAGGTACAAACAGTGTAAATGTTCCCTCAAAGGTCCAACAGTGGTTTTAAGGTTAAACTGTGTATCTTAAACAAGTTTTTCCAGGTGAAAAGTTCGTATTTGTACCTTTTCATAACCGTTGACAAGAGGAGCACTGCCACAGTGACAGTTTAGTACCTTTATTCTAAAGGAGTGTAAAATGTCTTTCCCCAGCGGCGTCAGAAAGACGTTAATCCATGTCTAATTCAAGTGGGACATACTATTACTTAAATGTTGACCCTGTCTAAGGCTCAACGTCTTCAATACACATTCATTCACTGTAAAGAAAAAAATGTTATAATGCATTCATAAGGCATCATAAACATGGCTATAAATATTTATAAAAATGCATTACACGTTATAGCCATGCTTATTATGTGTTTATGAATTGTTAACATAATGCATTATAAGTATGGTTCATTTTATGGGCTCATAAGTCGTATTTGCCCGCTCTAAGTAAAGTGAAGCGTACTGTACTAAAGCCTCCTCCAGTGTTGAGAGTGAAGCTTCAAGTTGAAGTATTTACTGAAGGATTTACTGAAACACTAAAACATACATAATAAAGCACATTACAGGCTTCAAATGTCAGAGTTTAAACTAGAGCTGCCATCAGTGTTTTACCCAATGTGGGAAAGTCAATGTACACCACCGTTAGCTTGGCACTAACTTAACACTGCATATCCAATAGATCAGAATCAGCCAATAGTATCAGAAATTAGCATTACTGTACTGTAGTGTAGGGATGTTACAGAGTGAAGGGTTCTAGTGCTTGACGTTAGAACCAGTGAGGGAACAAATTACAAATCTCGCCTCTCCCCCTCCAGGCCTTCACTCCACAGTGACTTCACGCTCAGTGTGATGTCAGAGGGGGTTAAGGGGACGGGCTGAATCCCAAATGACTGTTTCTTAGCTGTATTTTGCTCTGTTGGGCTGCAGGATCCAGTATTTAAACTCCTATGTAGTGCACTATGTAGGGAGCAGGGAGCTGTTTGAGACTCAGCCCCAGCATGAGAAGAGGGGGCCACTGGATTGGTGCTAAATAAGACTCGCGGTGGTGATTTGGAGACCAAGAAGTCCTTATAAAGTGAATTTTACGTTTTCACTTTAAACAGTGCTGTGATATCATATGTTCATTGTTATATGACAAAAAGTAAAAAAAATCATAAAATGACCGCTAAATACAGCGATGGGCGACCAAATGTTCTCCTCATTCTGCGAGTTGCGTGGCAACAATGCCATACTCTAAAGGAACTACATTTGTTGGCGGAATACTTGGTTATGTCGATTATTATTAATATCGACTTAAATTATTTTCTGAGAAAAGTGTGTGTTTTATTAAAGTTGGCCACCGTTTTATAAAAAGCAATGAGCCACTTGAGGCTGTGCGTTACAGTGGTTTTGTCACGGAAAAGGAGTTTTAAGACCCCCCTTGCTGTGATAAAACTGCAGTTACGCATGCTTTCACTTGGCTTATTGCTTTAGTAAACATTTTTGCTGATGGGCTACTTAGAAGGAGAATTCAATAAAATATCTGAAGGTTCCTCTTACAGGCTGGTGAGATTTCTGTCCTGTTGGGTGGAATTTATGCTATAGTCCAATTTATGCTATTCTGTCTGGTCTTAACTAGAAGTTTGTTTGAACTTTTTGGATCCGTTTAATTCTAACACTCTCTGAGGTAATTTGGGGAAATTACACAGATACTTTTTCTTCTATCAGCCCATAAAATCCCTCACACATTCCTTATATTTCAGCTCCAATAGGTCTTATGGAACAGGAAAAAATTGTGAGACAAAGACTTCCATTACTTGTTGGCTACATTAGCCTGGTAGCTCCAATACAAGACTAAGAAGCAAACTTCAGACACTAAACATGTCTTGGTTGATCATGGAACTGAGCATCTTGCCGGTGATCCATTCTGGTAATTTGGTGATGGTCCCTTGAATAAATCCACCACCAGAGGAGTTACAGCACGTGCACATCCACATCAGCTGGAGTGAAAGGTGTCAGCATGAGGAATTGCAGCTTTCAGTGAGTTACCGTGTTTCCTATCACTGTGTAAAAGATGCACAAGGCTTCCTTCACTGGACGCACCATGGCACAGTTCAGATCAGTACACGCTAACTTTTGACTGGTTTACTCAGAGTAACGATGTGTTTGCTTCTTCAAAAAAGTAGTTGTGACACAAACTGAACCATACGTATTAAATAACTGCAATAATGGCACTGAGGAATCTCCCACAGAATCCACTTTTCTCAGCTGCCTGAAACGCCTTGCTGGAATTCCAGCCCTTTTCTTTTGTTACAAGATGACGTCATCTTGTAACACAGTCCTTACTGCTCGCCTACTAGCGAGCTCGGCACCCTCACACAGCGCACAGCAGCTACTGGAGGAGGAAGAGTGTGTTCAGTGCTGTAGCTGTGTGGAGAAGATGCTGACCGGACTTTCAGGATCGACTCTGGATCAAACTGAT